AGATGCCCCCATAATTACCCGCGCGGCTACATTCTGGACTAGCTGGAGCCTCTGGACGCATCCCAAGGGCAGCCCCATGTAGAGGGTGTTACAGTAGTCCAACCTAGAGGTAACAAGGGCGTGAGTGACCGTGGCAAGGGCATCCCGGTCTAGAAAAGGGCGTAACTGGCACACAAGACGCACCTGTGCGAAGGCCCCCCTGGTTACGGCCATCAGATGATTGTCCAAGGACAGCCGAGAATCCATTTTCTTTGAAAGTCTAAGAACATGAGCAAATCAACCTTATGATTGAGTGGATATATGTTAATCTTGTGCAGTAAATTTTATGATCAGGTCCATAAACCAAACTTTTAGTTCATAGTTTGCTGATTTGCTGGAGCTTCCTTCTTTCATAGGAAAGGTACATTGAAGATTGTATAAAATGATCAATTATCTTCTAGATCTTCCTAGAACTGCTCTAAACGTTTACATGCAACATTGACATCAATATATTTCCATCAATGTTTAAGATGGAAATAAATATTCGCACTGTTCTTTTGAATCTTGTCATCTTTTCTTCATCCAATGGCATCGGCTAATAAACACCTTCATAAGAATGATGTGAATTGCAGTTTCTCAGAAAGGAGCCACTTGGAATTGAATTCCCTTGATAAAGTGCTATGAAAGCTCCCAGTATTTGCTGAATGGAAACATTATGAGTGGAAATGACCCTGTTTCCCATGAACTCAGTGATATGTCCATTTTTGAAATGTAGAGAGGAATAATCTTGGAGCATTTGTTTCAAAAATCCAAGTTTACCTTAAAATGCATCTTTAGATTTTTAGATCTCTAAGAGGGTTCGTAGTAACATATGAAAGTCCCACATGCATGTTTTCCTAAGGGCAATCTCTCAATGGAAGCCCTGCTCAACATGTCTAACATCTGTAAATATGACAGCCAAACTAGCAGTGTCATTATTGAACCAGAATAATTTCCTTTTCTCTACATTCTATCACCCTTGTCTGAAGTTACATTGCATTTTATTCAAAGAAGTTTGAGGCACTTACATTCCATATTCAGAAATTACTGGCATTTTTTTGAAACTCTGTGTACGTTCATCGGGATTTATAAAGGAAAAAAATCCTCCAAGTATTGTTTTAGCTCCAGAGTTGGAAAATTTCCTTGGAACATTATTGGGCTGGAGGCAGATGGATTTCAAACTCTTACTGACACTGGCAGGAAGCAAGAAGAGCAGAACAAGGTTAAATGAAAGAAGACTTGAGCCATCCTTCCATCCTTCCAAATACATGGTCAACAAAATAGAGCAGTCAAGTTTGCAAAAAATAAATTGCCTTGGTTAGACCTAATGGGAAACATCCACTGAAAAGGAGGAAGATATATAAAGAATAGAATTTTTTATTTTCCAAGTGTGATTGGTCACACAAGGAATTTGTCTTTGGTGCATATGCTCTCAGCGTACATAAAGAAAAAATGATATATTCATCACAAATTAAAAGTAAAGATAAATGAGAGCGGTTTCCTTGACTGTGATTTCAATGGCCCAAGATAAATTTTGAGGGATCTTTCAAAGTGCAGCAGGAATTTCTGAATTTTTTTCTCCTTGCCATCCTTGTTCAGGTGTGATGCTGTCAAGAAACAACTGAAATGCAGTCATTGGAAAATCAGAGGGAAAATTATAACCTTTATTCCCTGGTGATTTAGGCAAATTGTGTTTGTCTAAAATGTGTACATGGATACTGTAAGAGTTACAATTAGTTTCCCATAGCAAGTGCCATTTTCTTTCTCTTGCTTCGCAATCTTCTTTGTTCTTACCTTGACCTTATACACAGAAAAGTTTCAGAAACTTTTGCTTTGGAGAATTGCATTACCTACATCAATCTACATTATCTCTCACATGGATGCCAACTTGTTATATCACAGAAAGCTTTACTACAAGGGGTTGAAAGAAAGATGTGATCTTGAAAATGTGATTAATTTACCGTATTTTTCAGACTATAAGACACACTTCTCCATCACAAAAAAAGTGGGTGGAAATGTTGGTGTGATTTATAGACCAAATATGGGTCTGTTTTTGGCCTCCTGAAACATTCCCACGCACGTTTTTGGCAAAAACTGGATGCACAGAGGGTTTGGGAGGCCTGCAGACTGCTCCTGGGGGCTGGGGAGGGCAAAAACCAGATGCACAGAGGCCAAAATTTTTCTTCTTGTTTTCCTCTTCAAAATTTAGGTGCGTCTTATACTCCCGTGCATCTTATAGTCTGAAAAATACAGGTAATATACAGAGAAAAACTATAATAGTCCACTGTCTTCCCTAAAATGAAAACAGGCAAAATAAATCAATCCTCAACTTATGACTGCAGTTGAGCCCAAAATTTCTGAGTCATTTTTTCATTGAGTTTTGCCCCATTTTATGACTTTTCTTGCCTCAGTTGTTAAGTGAAGCACTGCAGTTGATAAGTTAATGACCCAGTGGTGAAGTAAAACTGGCTTCTTCATGGACTTGTTGTCAGTTGTCAGAATGTTGCAAGAAATGATCACATGATCTTAGATCTTAGATCACTGCAACTGTCATTAATATGCCTTGGTAGTACAGTGGTCTAAAGCACCCTGTTATTAAGACCAGCTGCCTGCAATTACTGCAGGTTTGAATCTCTCCAGGTTCAAGATTGACTCAGCCTTCCATCCTTTCTAAGGTAGGTAAATTGAGGACCCAGTTTGTGGGGGCAATAAGCTGACTTTGTATAAATATACAAAAAGGATGAAGGCTATTGCTTAGCACATTGTAAGCTGCCCTGAGTCTCCGGAGAAGGGCGGTATATAAATCAAATTTTTTAAAAAATTCTCATTCTAATGTTATTCTGACAAAATTATGGGTATTTTTTTCTTTCAAATGTATGGAATTTCTAGTTCCAAAGATTTACTAAAGCTTTTCTCTGCATAAATGTCATTTTAAAAGCATACATATCTTGAAGATGAGCTTATACAATACCAGAAAAGTACTATTAAAGGTATTTTTCTTCTCCCCTTAATATCAGAATTTACAAGATTTGTTCCTTCATTCAATTTGTGTGATGGGCTACTGCTAATCATGTAATTCTCAAACAAATTCAGTATAGAGTGAGGTTGACCAAATCTGACTTATTTCTCAGATTTCAATATTTCTCAGTCTTGACCAACTCATCTCACAGACTTATTTTTTCTGTAAAACATATGTTGGATGGAGTATTCAGTATGTTTGAAGCCTTGAGTTTTATATAAAAGGAACAGGTGGGATAATAAAATAGCCAGGACAAAACACAGACTTCTCTCCAGCCAATCTCTGCTTGAAGAAAAAAAAAAAAAAAAGCAGAAAAGTCAGTTTGGAGTGTATCTGGATACCAGGAAAGGAGAAAATGCATCAAGTTAAATTGCTAGAAAATTTTCAGATTTTTTGCCTATTCAGATTATGATTCCCTTGTAGGAGTGTCTGGGCCTATGGGTGCTTCGTTTGAATTTCTTGCATTGTTTACTAAGATTTGTCCAATAGTAAAAGCAGTCTCAGGAAAGTGGCCCTTATGCAAAGCTCTGGGAGGACCTGAGTAAGGCAGAGAAAAACAGTATTTGGGAATGTAAAGGTAGGGAAATAGAGAAATTTATTTTGAAAGAAACTGTGGAGCCGTTGAATGTAAATCCTCTCCTCATTGGAAAAATTCTAATTTTTGTGAGTTAATTCATTGCATTTTCAATACTATTCCTACGCTAATCTGAACAGCTTTCATTTCATATAAAACATATAAGGTAACAAGCTAATAAATATATATCAACATAAAAACCTAATATATTGCAGAATATTCATGACTGGGAAGACATGATAACAAGATCAGCCAATGAATTGGCATAGCAACTAAAACAGCCAATGGGAGCTGAAACAGTTTGGAGTCTGGGCGTGGCTTAGCTCTGTGTGCTATGTTGAAAATTAAAACTGAAACTAGTCTGTCTGCTGTACTCTGCTTGTGATTTGCTTGTAACTGCTACCACGTTGGAAGAATCTGCTGTTGGTATTGTACATTTATTCATGTGTTATTATGTATATAAATAAAAGTTAATGAATCCTGAAGAATCAGTTATCTGTGTGTGCTTTCTGGATTTGATTTTTGCAACAAACTCTGACAATATATATATTTCTATAGGTATCCCACCTCCAGAAGAGCTAAAGTCACCCAATTTCCACAACAGAAGAGCCAGGTGTGACTTCTCAACTTGATAAAATGAGGGGTAGAAAATGGGGCCAATGAATAAAATTTTCAATAAAGCTACTTGACATCTTGGAAACCAAAGAGGTTCTCTCATGTTAACAACAACCATGCATTTCCCAAAATACCTTTATTCTCTCCATAGTATCAAAAAATTCCAATGCAATCATGGTACTATTTATTTATTTATTTATTTATTTATTTTCAAACATTTATACAGCTAACCATCTTCTAACCAACTCTGGATGGTGGTTCCCAATCAAAAGTTAAAAAAACCTATAAAATAATATTTAAATTATAAAAGAAAATAAATCAAAATATTAAAAACAACAAATACCCAGCCAGCTAATCTGACCCAGCACTTGGTGGAAAAGCCAGGTCTTCAAAGCTGCATGGAAGGCTAGGACGGAAGAAGTCTGCCAAAGATTAGGGGCAGAGTGTTTCATAAGGCAAGCCTGTAATGGAACAGGCACACTTCCTTAAAGGGACAGCTTCAATTACATATTCCAGCTTTCTTCAATATTTCAGATCACCCCTAAGATTACTCACGATCACCAGAAAAATGCCAAAAAATTACAGTATAGGATTTCACTATTTAACTGTTCTACAGCTCGGATAAAGCCTTAGAAATTGATTATATATGTTACATACATAAAGAAAAGAAATAGCATTGAATTGCATGATGAAGTTTGCGAGCTTGAATATTTGGACTTTTCCCATAATGTTTTTGGTAACCAGGTAAAGGCTGAATTACAGAATTATTCATTGTTAATCTGTCCTCCTGGTTAGATGCTGTTTTGTGTTCAGATGTGGGTTCAAGAGAATGATGTAGCATTTGGGCAGGAAGATGCAACCCAGGAGACCTGCAGTAGAGCCCAAGATGGAGAAGATCTCCACAGCCACCATGTATTTTCCCTTGGTGCTCAGATAGGCTGGGATGAAGGACACCCAAATGCTACAGAACACAAGCATGCTGAAGGTGATCAGCTTGGCTTCATTAAAAGTATCAGGCAGTTTCCTGGCAAAGAAAGCCACAGTGAAACTGATGGTGGCCAGGAGCCCCAAGTAGCCCAGGACAATGTAAAACATGGCATCTGAGCCTTCATTACATTGAACAATGATCTCTTGAACCTGCGAATGCATGTCCCACTCAGGGAAGGGAGTAGACATGATCAACCATATCATGCAGATAATAGCTTGAATACATGAGCAGAAGACAATGATGGATCCTGCCAGTCTATTTCCTAGCCATTTCCTCATCTGGTTTCCTGGCTTAGTGGCCAGGAAGGCCAAAACAACCGTGATGGTCTTGGCCAAGACACAAGAAACCGAGAGAGAGAAAATGGTGCCAAACATAATTTGCCTGAGAAAGCAAGTCACCTTCCCAGGCCGACCTATGAAGAGCAGAGAGCACAGAAAACACATCAGGAGAGAGGAAAGAAGGATGCATGTGATGTTCCTGTTGTTGGCTTTGACAATGGGGGTGTCCCAGTGCAGAATGAAGGCCAGTGCCACCAAAATGACAACTAATGAAAAGAAAAGGATCAAGGAAATCAAAACGATTCCCAAGGGTTCACCATAGGATAAATAGCTGAAACGTTTGGGAAGGCATTGGATCTTTTCTGCATTCGAATACTGATCCCCTGGGCATCTCTCACATTGGTTAGCATCTGAAATACATGAAGAAGAACAAGTCACTTCCAACTATATAGGACAATCTATAGAGTTAATTGAGAGAGATCATTGCTGGGGATGCCATTCACAAACCCCTTGACATATAATAATGCTTTCTTAAAAAGTGTACGGATTCTGGTCTGTTATTTATTCATATATATTCCTTTGAACTGCACTATTAGTGGTGGAGGACTCTGAAGAGAATTGCAACTCTCAACTAAGAAAAGAGATCAGAATAGAATGGATTTATAAAAGTGTTTAAATTAGACCCATCTTTGAAAAAGAAATCTACCAAAGGTTACCCCAATTCCATTACTCTAAATAGCATATCAAAGATGGAAAGAATGAAGAAAAGATGTGTTTGGAAGCTCTCAACTCTTAGCTGTCACTTTTTTTTACTTACCTGTTTCAATTGAAATTCTTCCTTCAGAACATTGTCTACAATTGTAGCAACAAATATGTTTTCCCTCCTGAACAACTCTGCTGTATCCCTGACGGCAGCTCTCTACACATCTGGCACGGGGAGGTACCTGAAAGAAAAATGAAAAGGTTTAGGAATGAGATTCATCAAGATGTTGTGCAAGTCCTCCTTTTTATTAGAACTTGGTACTTTCAGGGACATGCATAATCTTCTGAAGTCAACATGTCCCAAGATGCTTTCGGAGAGTGTCCATATTTATATTAAATCTTTCTATTCCTAGGATGAGTTCTGACTTTTCTGCAAACATATTTGTAAAAAAAACAAAAACAGATAGTTGAGAGCATGGGGGTCCCTGGTGGGAGATATCTAAAATGTTTCAATCCTACTAGAAATCAGATCAGATCAGAGAGGTTTTAAACCTGCAATCTAGAACAAAACGAAGGATTTCATTCTGTAGGAAATGTCATCCATTTTCATTTTGTAGGATTAAAATATCCTTGGTGTTCCTTTTTATCTGCCAGGACCCAAAATCAAGAAAGACATATGGACTTTCTTCTGAGCAGTCCTCACCTGTAGATAGAAATCTTAACAAAATAAAGGAATTGTTTAGCATCACTATAGATATTCAATCAAACGCTCCATATTCAACTGCGACTTTGTCTTCTGGAAAAAACACCTCCTTTCTGGGAGTCCTCACTAAATTCCATCAAGTATCATTTGTATTTAGAGATTTCTCTAAAAAGGGCTCCATAGGAGTACAGCCATTTATAATAAACCTTTTCTCCTTTCAAAAAGTCTCCTCTTTTTACTCCATTCATAACAGCAATACCCAATATTAAATATTAAATTGGGAAAATGCAAAATTCTGTTCATTACAAAAAATGCATATCTATTGTCTTTTAAGAAATTAGTAGCCTGTCGAGCAAACTAAATCAAACAAAAGGACACATGCATAAATATTCTTATTTCATATTAATTTCAAAATGCAACTCAGTTCCATAACGGAGTTGGAAGGGACCTTGGAGGTCTTCTACTCCAACCCCGTGCTCAAGCAGGAAAACCTATCCCATTTTAAAGAAATGGTTGTGCCATATTTCCTTAAAACCTCCAGTTGTGGAGCACCCACAACTTCTGGAGGCAAGTTGTTTCAAAGATTAATTGCTCTCATTGACAGGAAATTTCTTCTTAGTCTAGGCTGCCTCTCTCCTTACTTAGTTTGCATCCATTGCTTCTTGTTCTACCCTCAGAGGCTTTGAAGAATAGCTTGACTCCCTCTTCTTTGTGGCAGCCCCTGAGATATAGGAACACTGCTATCATGTTTCCCCTAGTCCTTCTCTTCATTAAAGTAGACATACACAGTTCCTGCAACATCATATGTTTTAGCCTTCAGCCCCCAAATCATTTTTGTTGCAATTCTCGGTATGTAGAGGTCTTCAAAATGACCATCCCAAATATCTAGCAAAACCACAAGATTCCAGAATATCGTCACTGTCCTTCGCTTCTGGACTTTCAGGTCATTGGAGAAGAACATCTTCACTTCCAAATAATAGTCTACAAAATTAGAGTATGCCAAATATCCCACCTGCTGAAACTTCTGATTCCATACAATGGCACTTTCATTAATGGTGAACTTCTTCCCATCAAGAGATTTGGAGACCATCTTTCCAATCCGGACTCTCTGGAACGATTTATTGTGGAAGGAGACAAAGTTGAAGATGTCGTATCCCGGGTCAAACTCCCCTTTCTCATCAAAAAAAAATTCTTCTCCCATACTGTTATTAAAACGGGTGTTTTTCAGAAAATAGTGAAGCTGGATTTGAGGGAGAGGAAAAGTCAGAGCATTTATCCTAGTCTTTCCCAAAGTTTGGCTTTGTTCATAATCTCAACATAGTTTCTTTAATGAATCTTATCAGGATTGTAACTGAATTGCTTTCTGGTTTGATTCAGAAATCTCTTCAACCCATGGACTACAACCCATTTTAAATTTCAGTAATGTCAGATCCAACAATTTCCTAATATGTATTGATTCAACTGGAATATGTTAACATATAAAATTAAATTCATGGCATCAGATTCTTACACAGCTTATTTTTCAATTCTTGCATAAATAAACAATTGGAGGAAAGAGACTATCCCACATAAATAAGGTAAAGTATCTATTACGTGCGATGGGAAGAAAAGGATAGCACAGGGAAGGCATTACTCTTTACCTTTTATTCTTGAATCACAGCTTTGTAGAAGTTTCCTTCACATGAATCACTTCCATAAATTAATATTACTTAGATTCTTGTAGAAACTTAATTTAGTCTTTCCAATCCTTCCAGTCCCATATCTCTAGACTGTTATATACATTTAGTACATCCAAAAGGTTACAGTGCAAATCGTTCCACCCATTGAAATTGGAAATTTTATTAATTAAGGTAAAACACGGTCCTGTTCATATTATCTTCTAATGATTTCAGAACCAGATATGTTTCTTGCTACATGTACAAATATGAAGTGTTGGTCCATTTTACTCAATAAATCAATCAGCAGGTTTAATTGAATCCTCATTATCTAGTTTTAGGATTTGTGCAGAAATATTTATGTAGAAATATTAAAACTCCATAAGGATTCACAAACTTTTAGGGATTATCATATATGTAATATTTTTCACTATATATACACAGTGCAATGAAAGTTCCATAGCACAGTAGGTAGGGTAGCAAGAACAGAAATATTATTTACTACAAACAATAAGTAATTTGGGGAGATTCTATAATAAAGACTATGGAGACAACCTAAAAATATTTTAATTTTGTGCATTCAAATTTTGGGAGATGTTGGGTATGAGATTTTGCACAGAAGCTCCTAAAATGTCATTAAGAAAATATTAGAATGTGGAGAAATGAGTAGATTGATGCTTCCAATTAAAGAGAAAGAACAAACTGAATATTATATGACATGGGAATTATTTTATTGATGGTTACAGACTAAAAATGGAAGTTAGAAACAAAGGAGGAGATTAGTGAAATGTAGAAAATGTGTTAAGATAGAGATGTAAACAATATGATGATTGTTGATGGTTGATGGTTATTATGACTATTAGGATTATTACATTCAATACTATTATTATATTCTTATTAGAAGATATGTAAAGAGGGAAAGATGAAGATATTTATTATGCTCAATATTACTACTGTGAGATCAGAGAATTATTATCAATGTAATGAATACTGTTGAAAATGTTGATAGTTATTGCACAAAGATATTTCTACACACTGTTGAATGGAAGATGGAATGTTTATACTATATATGAAGAAGCTGCTAAAATTAATGGATTTTCTCCCTCTGAAACAGCATTAAGTAACAGATCTCCAAACATAGTTCCATCTGGACTTTAAAGATAATTCTTAGATATGATTGAGCTGCAAGAGACGAGGTAGCGCAGTGGTTAGAGTGCAGTACTGCAGCTACTTCAGCTGACTGCTAGCACAGCAGATCAGTGGATCAAATCTCACCGGCTCAAGGTTGACTCAGCCTTCCATCCTTCCGAGGTGGGTAACATGAGGACCCAGATTGTTGGGGGCAATATGGTAGTTAGTATACTGTCTTTGGTGATAGCCGCCAGAGTCCTCAGAGCGAGGGCGACATAGAAATATGACTAATAAATAAATAAATTAGTTTCTCCAGACAAATATTTCCTACAGATAATTGGTTGCTGCAGAGAAACAAATCCAGAGTGTCTATCTATTGCTGCTTTCCCATCCCATCCCCTTCAGGGCTTCCATAAATGTATCTGGGAAGAGCAATGACATACCTCCCATGGCTGAAAATGCCAAAGATTTGATCCATCCTGATTCCTCAGAGGAGCTGGCTTTGCTCTTTTTGCTCTTTTTGAATGCATTGCTTGTACCGCATGTGCTGCAAGATGAACCTCATTGTAGATGTTGTAGCTCTCTCCAGACATGGTCATTTCAAACACGGAGCCAGAAGCTTCATTGAGTTTTTCCCTCCCAGTGCAGCGTTTAGCTCCTTTCCGATATGGAGGCAGTGAACAAAGAAACACAGACTCCCAGAACCAATTAACATAAGGAAAGGGATGTTCCAAAGGTTTTATTCTCTCAAGAAATTCCTGAAATCCTGGCATAGTCCTTGTGTGGAGTGAGAAGTATAGGGAACCATTGAAAGTTTGAACTAGGAGTCTCCTTTTTGATGATAACATCAAAGTGAAATCCCACTGGTAGGTCATGATCCATACTCTGTGATCTATTGGTTTCTTTTGGTAAATTTCACGAGAATAAAGCCCCCATTGTAAAATCTCCATAGATTGGACAGTCCCAGAAGCAAGGAATACAGTGACATTCTTCTGTAAAATAAGGTCTATTATTTTGTGTACACGTTCTAAAATGACATTTTTATTTAAGAGTGCATCTTTAAAATTGGGATCAATGCCATCCAAGCAATGCAAATATCACTCTGGAAGAGCCTTGGTTGGAGATGTTGAAAAAATACTTCCCCCTCTCGTCCTCTGAGACCAAGAGGCCAATCCAGTTCCATCCAAAATGTTTTAGTAAGTGAACAATCCCTTCATATTGCAAATTTTCATTGGGAACCATACTGAAGAAGGAAGGGAATTGCCCTTTGTCACTCAGGACTGGGTCAAAGGAGCCATAATTCAGCTGTTGGGAAGAATGATGCATAGAAAATTAAACTGAGAGTCCTTTTGTGATCATGAAGAGAATAGAGCTTTTCCATCCTCCATAGAATATTGGATTGTACTGTGACATTATGACTTTATTGCAAAATCCCAAAGGTTGCTATCAAGTGTTACATAAAGAAAGAGATCATAAGCTTCACAATAGTAGATTCTGGGAACTCAGAACTGGGAAATGATAGCCCGGCTAAAGTTAAAGAAGCTACGGTTTATAAAAACAAAACAAAACAACAGACTGATCTGTGAAAAATGATCATACCTGTGGAAACTTGTAGATGTTCAACATGTGGGCCATCTGGATGGAATTGAGCGAGGTGAGGTCACCAATGATAGGCAAGAAGTTCAGATTCCTTCTTCTGACACAGTTGAAGTTGATAGGACTCCCTTGTCTGAGAAACAGAAAATTTAAAACATGCTTACTGGCCTTCCAGGCATTGAAACTGTTTCGATAAATCTGCAGTGTTATTGTGATGTTGGGGAACAGCTTGGCATTCTTGTTGACCTCATCAATGGCAAAATACAAGGAAAGAGGATGCTGGGCATATTTTGGTATCATGCTGAAATGAAAGTGCAGAAGGAGAGAAAATCATATCACACACAAAAATCTAAATCAATTCTAAAATACCGTAGTGCTCAAAATTGTGGAAACCTTTTGGAGAAAGTGTATTTTCTAAAACTAGCTAATAACACCACTTTTTTTTTAGTAGTACCATAACATTCTATATCAATGGAAAGATAATTTAATCAAGAATTTAATGCAATTATTTTTATGAAGATTTGTTATTTGAATAGGAGTTACAGTATAAAGAAGAAAAGTGAAACACAGAAAAAATGAGGTATACTAAAACCTTTAGCATAAATTACAGTCTTACAAAGTTTTCCCATGGAATGATCCAAGTCTTTTTGTTCTGCAGCTGTTATAATGTGAAACCAAGATTGAATAATTGTTGGGTTTTAATTGCTGGGTCGGTTCTGAGTTGTGACTAACAAGTTTCTTTAATTGGTGCCATAGTTTTCCAATTGGGTTAAGGTTTGGGCTCTTCCAGCACTGGAAAATGATTATCTTGAAACTCCAAAAAAAAATGGTATGATTAGCCATCAAGCCTCAAAAATACACTTTTCCAAAACTTTTCCACAATTTTGGCCACTACTGTACATAGATAATTTCAGCAATTTATCCAATAGAGATGTAACAGAAATGTATTTTAATTGCATAATTAGTATGATTCCTATTAATCAGGTGGCTCTTTCAGGAAGACCTGTACCTCTAGGCAAGGATTTTGAAGAGGTTGACTGGAAGACATTTTCCTAACAGAGAAAGTGATGTTCCTCTTTCGAAGAGATCATAGAATAAAGCCTAGCATAGCTGCCCTTCTTGCTGACTCCTCTACTTTTTGAGTGACAAAGTTGTCAGCTCGGTTGGTAGGGACCTGTTCGATTTCCCCCTTGTTCCTGAGTTTGTCTTCCAGTTAATGTCTGGCTAAATAAAATCCCCCATTGCTATTGTGGTATATTTTGAGATACATTTGTTAACTGATTAGCAAAATGTTCATCTATTCTTTCTGCTCCATTGGGTCGCTTATAGTATATTGCAGTGGTGGGTTGCCTCCGGTTCAGACCGGTTCTATAGAACCGGTAGTAAAACCAGCAGGAGGCTCCGCTCACTGACCCCGACATCATCAGGAAGCTCCTGCGCATGCGAACCGGTAGTAAAGATAATTAGAACCCACCCCTGGTATATTCCTATGGCAACATCATTCTTTTATCTTGACCCATAAGCATTGTAGCAGGCTTTCAACCTTGGTTTTGTGTGCCCCTCTTGGTTTTGTGCATCTCTCTTGTTTTGCAATGTCATCTTCTGACAGAGGATTTATTTTCTTTGAAAGTCTGTGAACACCAGCAAATCAACCTTACCATTGGGTGGATATATGTTAATCTTGGGCAGTAAATTATATGATCGGGTCTCTGATTCAACCTTTTAGTTCATAGTTTGCTGATTTCTTGGAGCTTCCTTCTTTCATAGGAAAGGTATATTGAAGAGTTTATAAAATGATCAACTATCTTCTAGATCTTCCTAGAACTGTTTCCATGCAACTACACACTTCCATCAACATATGTCAACGTTTAAGATGGATATAAATATTCACACTGTTCTTTTGAATCTTGTCATCTTTTCTTCATTCATTCTTCACCAGCTCATAAACACCTTCATAATAATGATGTGAATTGCAGTTTCTCAGAAATGTGCCAGTTGGTATTTTATTCTTTTGAGAAACAGCTTCTAATACTTTACTAGACCCGTGAACTTGGTGGTATTTCCATTTTTGAAATGGAGAGAGGAAGAGAAAGGAGCCACTTGGAATTGGATTACCTTGATAAAGTGCTATGAAAGCTCCCAGTATTTGCTGAATGGAAAAATATTGAGAGGAAATAACCCTATTTCCCATGAACTTGGTGGCATTTCCATTTTTGAAATGTAGAGAGGAATAATCTTGGAGCATTTGTTTCAAAAATCCAAGTTTACCTTAAAATGCATCTTTAGATCTCTAGATCTCTAAGAGGGTTCGTTATAACATATGAAAGTCCCACATGTATGATTTCCTAAGGGCCTTCTCTACGGAAGCCCTGATCAACATGCCTAACATCTGTAAATATGACAGCCAAACTAGCAGTGCCATAATTGAACCAGTATAATCCCACTTCTACATTCTATCACTTTTCTCAGTAGTTACATTGCATTTTATTCAAAGAAGAGTGAGGCACCTACGATCCATATTCAGAAATTACTGGCATTTTTTTGAAAGTCTGTGTACGTTCATCAGGATTCATAAAGGAAAAAAATCCCCCGAGTATCATTTTAGCTCCAGAGGTGGAAAATTTCCTTGGAACATTATGGGCTGGAGGCAGATGGATTTCAAACTCTTACTGACACTGGCAGGAAGGAAGAAGAGCAGAATAACGTTAAATGAAAGAAGACTTGAGCCATCCTTCCATCCTTTCAAATACATGGTCAACAACATAGAGCAGTCAAGTTTGCAAAAAATCAATTGCCTTGATTAGACCTAATCTTTGTTGGCCAAGTGTGATTAGTCACACAAGGAATTTGTCTTTGGTGCATATGCTCTCAATGTAAATAAAGAAAAAATGAAATAAAAATTAAAAAAGTAAAGATAAAAGAGAGTGGTTTCCTTGACTCTGATTTCAGTGGCCCAAGATAAATTCTGAGGGATCTTTCAAAGTGCAGCAGGAATTTCTGACTTTTTTTCTCCTTGCCATCCTTGTTCAGCTGTGATGCTGTCAAGAAACAGAACTGAAATACAGTCATTGGCAAATCAGAGGGGAAATTATAACCTTTATTCCCTAGCAATTTAGGCAAATTGTGTTTGTGTAAAATCTGTACATGGATACTGTAAGAGTTACAATTAGTTTCCCATAGCAAGTGCCATTTTCTTTCTCTTGCCTCGCAATTTTCTTTGTTCTTACCTTGACCTTATACACAGAAAAGTTTCAGAAACTTTTGCTTTGGAGAATTGCATTACTTACATCAATCTACATTATCTCTCACATGGATGCCAACTTGTTACATCACAGAAAGCTTTATTACAAGGGGTTGAAAGAAAGATGTGACCTTGAAAATGTGATTAATTTACCGTATTTTTCGGACTATAAGACACACTTTTCCATCACAAAAAAAGTGGGTGGAAATGTTGGTGCGATTTATAGACTAAATATGGGTCTGTTTTTGCCCTCCCGAAATACCCCCATGCATGTTTTTGGCAAAAACTGGATGCACAGAGGGTTTGGGAGGCCTGCAGAGTGTTCCTGGGGGCTGGGGAGGGCAAAAACCAGATGCACAGAGGCCAAATTTTTTTTTCTTTTTTTCCTCTTCAAAATTTAGGTGCGTCTTATACTCCCGTGCATCTTATAGTCTGAAAGAATACAGGTAATATACAGAGAAAAACTATAATAGTCCACTGTCTTCCCTAAAATGAAAACAGGCAAAATAAATCAATCCTCAACTTATGACTGCAGTTGAGCCCAAAATTTCTGAGTCATTTTTTCATTGAGTTTTGCCCCAATTTATGACCTTTCTTACCTCAGTTGTTAAGTGAAGCACTGCAGTTGATAAGTTAATAACCCAGTGGTTAGGTAAAACTGGCTTCTTCATGGACTTGTTGTCAGTTGTCAGAATGTCGCAAAAAATGATCATATGACCTGAGATCACTGCAACCGTCATTAATATGAACCAATTGCCAAGCATATGAATTTTGATCACATGATCAAGGGGATTCTGCATAACTTTGAAAAACGGTCATAAGTCAGTTTTTTCAGTGCTGTTGTAACTGACAATGGTCACTAAACAAAGTGTTGTAAGTCAAGGACTATCTGTAATACTTTCCATGTCTTCAAATAATCCATCCAATCATCTATCAATCACCTATTCCTATACAAGAAATCTCACAAATTTCATCAAAATCACATTTCACTACCAATAAAGGAGAATATTTGTAGCTCAGGGTTGAATCATTTCAACCCTGAGCTACAAATATTCTCCTTATTCGCTCATCATATGTCAGCGAAACCAAGAAGAAATAGAAATCCACACGATAAGCAGCTTTAGCTTCAAATTTATAATCTGGGTATAGTGGTAAAAAAAAATCTCAGATATAAAGGCCGGACAAGGAATAATGGATGGAAGCAGATCAAGGAGAGATTCAACCTAGAAATAAGGGGAAATTTTCTGACACTGAGAACAATCCACTAATGCAATGGTTCCCAACCTGTGGGTTGGGACCCCTTTGGGGGTCGAATGACACTTTCACAGGGGTCACCTAAGACCATCAGAAAACACATATTTTTAATAGTTTTAGCAATAATTTTATGGTTGGGGGTCACCACAAGATGAGGAACTGTATTAAAGGGTCGCAGCATTAGGAAGGTTGAGAACCAGTGCACTATTGGAACAGAAGTTACCTTTGGAAGTTGTGGGAGCTTCATCAGTGGAAGTTTTCAAGAACAGATTGGACTGCCATTTGTCAGAAATGGTGTAGGGCCTCCTGCTTGGGCTGGGAGGTGGGGGTTGGACTAGATGACCTACAAGATCCCTTCCAACTCTGTTAATCTGTATCTGTAAATGTTATCTTGAAAATTGCTATATTCTGTTATTGCCGATTGCAACTGGGAATGCTTAGAAATGCTAAATTAGGTTTGCAATTAAAAAAATTGTACGAGCCGTATTTTGCCCTTCTGTGAGTGTTTTTTTAAAACGTTTTTTCAAATACACATTTATTGGGGTTTTAAACAAAAAAGTTAAAAACTAACACCAAATGATCTTAAAAAAAGAATAACCGCAAAAAAGAAAAAAAAAGAAACATGGTCAAACGTTTTACCTGCATTTTCAAGAAGACTCATTCTAATGTTATTCTGACAAAATTATGGGTATTTTTTTCTTTCAAATGTATGGAATTTCTAGTTCCAAAGATTTACTAAAGCTTTTCTCTGCATAAACGTCATTTTAAAAGCATACATATCTTGAAGATGAGCTTATACAATACC